AAAAAAAAAAAAAAAAAAAAAAAACTCATTTTCACGGATATAATTTTATACAAACAAAATCTTTTGTTATTGTCCGACAGAGAGAACCAAGAGAGAAGAAAACAAGCAAAACCATAGGGTCACAGTGAAATAATAATGCTCAGAAACTAGTTTCGTTTTCAACTCTGTGTTGTAATCAAAGCTGTTCAAGATTGTACAGAGGCGGAGGCGCTGTCCGAGGTAAACATAATCTCGCTCGAACAAATCCCACAAAAGTTCTTGTTTTTATCCTTTCAAGAATTTCGTCTTTTTTTTTTTTTTTGTCAGATCCATGCTGCCCTTGCAATTTCAGTTCGTGGGTTTCTGCAAATCCAGGTTATTTCTATGTATAACCCCGTTGGTTTCATTTTTTTTGAAGTTTTAGTTTGGCCCTCGTACATTAATGCTGCTTATGGATTCGAAATTTATGTTTTTTTGTTGGTTTTGACGTTATATTAGGATAAAGTTTGTTCCTTTATGTCGATGGAATTAAGAAAGCGTTGAGGATTGAATGTGTTTTCTTGAAGTAATTCGTGTTTGATCTTGCAATCTTTTGGTGAACTATGCTATCAATTCTTTCTCTTCATCATGGAAAAACTGCTTTCTTTACTAAGTATGGGATGCATTTTAGACCAATTTTTCACATTTTTTTTGTCTCCCTGTTCAGGTTTTGTTGTTAAAATCGGCCGAAAGTGGGCAAGAAAAAGCTCTCTTCCTAATGGCTGGTCACTGTTGCTTGTATTTTACTGTATGGGAGGTAGATGTGAAAACCATTTGATCAATTACTATTGGTTGATTTTGCGAGTTTTATAAAGAAATGAGTCGTTCCCCATCGATTTCCATGAAATCGGAGCTTTCTCTGGAAGTCGACGAAAAATCTTTGCAGCAATGGGTAGTTGCGTTTTGTATCATTAGATTCGATCTCGAGCGGGGCCAGCTCATCGAAGAATGTTTTCCACCTGGCTGTCTTACTCAAAGCGAAGAGCTCGAGGTCTCCTTTAGCTCATTCCCCGATTCGGTCTCGCAAAACCATAACCGCTCGAGCATTCACGACTGTATCTTCTTCTTCCGCATGAGGAGACACAAAAGTCCTCAGAAAGTATCGGCAGATATTGTTGAAGTAAGCAACAATCAAGTGGTGTCTTCCCAAAAACAAATCGATGGGAAACAAAAGGGAAAAACTCCCACGAGCTACCACTCGGGATTCTTGTATGGCTTCGTGTTCAACAGACAGAGACACGACGAGAGACTAAAAAGAGGAGGCGAACAAAAATCGGTGGTGATTCTCTCACACAGCCCTTACAGTAGTTTATTTAGGCCTTTGCTGCAAATCATGGGCCCCTTGTATTTCGATGTGGGAAGCAAGGCCCTGAATTATATCGCTGCTTACGTGTCGAAATGGCCCCCACCCGTGCCTGGTCAACAAATCGAGCTCCCGATTGGAAATTCCTCGCTTAAAGTCAACTTGCCGCCTTCTCATTGTCTGCCTTCGGATAGTGGCTTTTTCGAAGACTCTGCTTCTTCTCTTGCTCCTTTGCTCCCTTCGAACCAGTCAACTCCACAGGGCTTATTTCACGACTCGGATCTTTTCGGCACATTTCGTGGATTGTTAATGCAGCTTTGGAAGCTATGGGAAATTCTACTCATCGGTGAACCTATCTTGATTATAGCACCCACACCTCCTCAGTGTTGTGAAGCTGTTGCGGGTTTGGTTAGTCTAATTGCTCCTCTACTTTTCAGTGTCGATTTCAGGCCTTACTTTACTATTCACGACCCAGAATTTGCAATTCTGAATTCTCTACAAGATGGGTCTTCTTTTCCTCCTATGGTCTTAGGCGTGACGAATCTCTTCTTTTTAAAGGCGCTTCGTAATATGCCTCATGTAGTTTCTGTCGGGAGCCCTTCTCTGAATTCGAACCGTTTGCCATTCGGGTCTAACCTGCAGCAACAACTTTCTCTGAGAAAATTTACGCCCACAAACTTCTTGAGTGCCGTGAGGTTGAGGAGAGATGGGCCGTTGTGTTTAATGACGGAGCATAAAGAAGCCGTGTGGACAAATTATGCTCCGGTGACTAAACCCGACACTTCTATCTTGAATAGGCTTATCGATGCTGGCATCTCTCCAAGAGTTGAGGAGTCTATGTCGGTGGTTAATAATGATATATTGCGTCGTCATTTTTTGGAGCTGACTACGAATTTTTTGGCTCCTTTCGGTCCGTATTTTAGGGCGAACACGCCTTCTGAAGCTCCGTTTGCCGATCCACCTCCTTTGCCCACTTTTAATGCTGAGGAGTTTCTGGCGAACTTGTCGGCTAGAGGGCCTGGAAAGTTTTTACTCAAGCGGATGAGATCGAATTGGCTCGATCTGTACAGGTACTTGGTTAATTAATGCATTAATTTCCAGAGTTTGTTTTGATAGTGTTATTACTTCAATACTCCATGTATGCATTATAATTGCTAATGGAAGTGAACGCAAAACTGTGCGTAATATGTTGGTCAGTAAAATGACGTGTGCCTTTTTCTTTCCTTCATTTTAGCTATCTTCTTATTCAACACGTGTTCATATTTTTCATGATGATGCTATAAGTCGATGCCCTTTTCATTTTGTCGATATGCGCACCTTCTTAATCGAGCATAATATTTTCTGCATTTATTATACATTTCCACCTTTGCTGTCTGGCTGTTTTTCTCCTCTTTGTAAAATGATTTTGAAACTGTTTATTTGTTTTGGCCTTCCATCAAATATATTGACCTTCCATTGATATCTGTGTTGAAGGATAGGATCTCTGTGTAACAAAGCATACAATCCATTCATTGAAAAGTGCATCCTTTTTTAATCTCCTTGTCCAGTTAACAATATCGGCAATTTCATATGATACTAGTGATAATTTTTTTTTTTTTATGGTATTCACATTGATGAAGGCGATTCTTGAAAGGACACAACTTCCTACCATGGTTCCGGAGAAAACGAGCTGTTGCCGAGCAAGAACAGTATAGATTGTGGAGGCAAGCTAGAATAAAAACCGACATACACGAACTGATAGGTAGAATGTCCGAAATAGAAATTGTCGATTCCTTCAATGCAATTGAGCGACACCTCTTAGGAGAAATCCAGGCAAGTTTCTTTTTTTTTTTTTTTTCAAGCTCAAATTATTCGATTTCAATTTATATTATTGTATCAATCCTGTTTATGTTTCAATTAAAACATGGAGGATTATGTGCTGTTTGTTACTGCTATAGATATAGTTTAAATTAGAAAAAAAGATCTGGACAGCGTGTGCTTTCAGTCTTTATTTTGCAAACACTTCTCCATAATTTTTAGTTGCTTGAAGCATTTTTTACCATATATGGATCTGCAGAAACACGTTTATATGGTGTGAATGTAATAAAGGTTGCAAATTATGAATATTCATGAAGTTAAGGTTGCATTTTACGCAAAAAAAAACTAAAAGTTGCAAAGTCCAAAAACACGTATAATACAATTTTAAAAAAATGTTGGTTATTTTTCTAGGAATAGCATCCAGTAAGCATTGATATGCTACTTAAGAGCTTTTGCAAGATGAAAATATAAATTCTTGGATCAAACATGTGATAATGGTTGTTATTACGATTATTATTTTAGCTTTTATTGTATACCCGCCAGCCTGTAGATCTCTATATTTTGCGTAATTTAATTACAATATCTCCCGATAAGCAGTATGGGAGAGCAAATGAAGATACTGAGGCAGTGTGCAATAAACTGAGGAAGGATCTACAAACGGTCTTTAATGTTCTCCCAAAGGACATGCAACAACTTTTGATTATGAATCCCGAGAAGGCCTCTCTATTGCAAGAATGCGGGCCCCACGACAAAGTTTCACCCGACAGATGACATGCGAAGAAACTACCGTTTTTCTAGAATTTGTCAACGGAGAGTGGGACAAAAAAAAAGTGGTGAATTTTATCATTATTATTATCCTCTTTCCATTATTGTTGTTATTACTGGAAATCTTGATCATATGATCCTGTTGAGGTTTTTCAGCAAAAAATCTTGAATATTATTAGTTCGGTTTTATATTTGCAGAGCTCGAGTTGTGTACATCAGGTCCGACTTTTCGAGATGAGGCTCGAGACAGTGGAAGTTTAAGGCATGCATGCAGGTGATCATTAAGTTTATCGAGGAAGTTTTGAACAGGTTATAGTTAAACGAATCGGGTTTGCGAAAGTTTTGCTTTGGATTCTTTTTTTCGTCGGAACGAGTTCGAGCTTTACCTTGTCAATTCTGATAATTTCTTTTGGTTGTGCAAGTGAAAATGCAAGTTAGATGATAAAAAAACGTGTAATTGGGGCATTTGGTAAGATGTATTTTAGCATGTGAATGTTGTTTTTTCATGGGAGCAAAATTTCCCCTCCAAATGTAACATGTTTTAAGAAAGCCAAAGTTGTGAAACATTTATTATGTCTTCATCAAGAGTTTATTCTTACACAATAGACGTGGCCAGGTGCCGGGTCCGGGCCCGGCCTGGCCCGGCCCGCCGGGCCACGGGTCCGGAAATGGTGGAACCGGGACCGGCCCGGTTGGAACTAAGGGCCGGTCCGATGAACCGGCCCTGTACCGGCGGGTCTGAAAACCGCCGGTTTTCAGCCGGGTCCGGGTCAGACCCGCCGGTTCCGGTTCTTTTTTTTTTTTTTTTTTTTTTTTTTTTTTTGGTATAAATGTATATATATGTGTAAATACAAGTTCATTTTTTTATTTAATATTTATATTAAAATACATGTTTGC